TGTCATCTATAGGGACTACTGAACAGACATTTAAGAGGTTGATTTTAAAATGCAAAGTATTTAAAACAAAATGAAGCTATCTAAACGCTTGCGTTTTTACAACGCTATAAGTGTGTCCCATCAAGTAATGAAAAGTTCGACACACACTTGTGGTCTTCATGCTCACTTGAACACTTGACCCAAATACAGGAAATACGTCATATAAGTAGTCAAGTGGTCAAGTGCAATGACTGCAAGTGTGGGTATTTGGACAAAGCATAAGACAATCTCTGTTCTTACCTCCAAGTCTTTCATGATGGAGAGCACCACATGACTCTTTCCTGTTGCTCTGTGGCCATAGATGAAGATTGAAGGATAACTGTATTGATCTGGCTGTTAACAGACAGAGAAACCACAGCTCACATTAACTGCAGACATGTTGTGTGTGTGTGTAACTTGGCTTGATATTTAACAATATCAATATCACAATATCACACAGTTGAAAGATGCTTGTTTTTAGTAGCCCCTAATTGAAGAATCACCTATGTTTAACTTTTTAATTGAATAAAAAGTATATAAACAATATAACCATCTTTAATAAAATAAATTAATAAAAATGTAGGTATTTAACTCACCTGTCCCATAAGTGACAGCAGTGACTTCAGCTGTGTCTCTGCATGGCAGTCTGTCAGCCAGAGAGCAGTGTGTCCTCAGGATAACCGGGACACTGCAGTGTCACAGACATGCTCCGATCATAAAACATCTGTATTAGTGTCATGTTAAAAAAAAGAACCTTATGTTGCATATCAGACTAGAGTTTCAGATGATAAGAAACGGTTCAAAAGCGAAACGTGCTTGAATTGAGAAACAGTAACGTAACGGCGCTGAACGAACCGGTCTTTAAACTTAATCTTAAACGCTAAAAAGCACAGAAATCCGACGCACAGACATTTATCCGATGCATATACATAACCAATTAATAAACAAAACTGCAAGAACACATTGTGAATAATATTTACACGCGTTCAAACCGCTTCGTTATGCGGTCACTAATCAAAACAAGCATCAGAAATACGTTATACGTTACTTGAGCAGATGTTTTTCATGAGAAACGAATAGTTTTATTTTCAGTTTTTGAGGTACAGTGATCCTTCCCTGCAGGATAAACTTCACATCACTTTCCCCGCGCGGTTCACGGAGGACGTCACGACGAGCCCGCGTCATTTCCGGACAAGGGTCTGGGATTTGTAGTTCTTAATGTTTTAAATCCCAACGCTCTTGAATTTAATTTTTAAACGTTTAAAAGCGAGAATCCATAGTATCGTCAGCCTGAAAGCCAACAGAGACACAGGTGAATTTGGATATAATTTTAGGGAATAGATGTATTCTCCAGGCATGCAAGCGTCTCTCCGTCTGCAATGAGGAGAGGAGTGACAGACGCAGACTGAATAACGTTATTCGGGTGTGACAGAAATCTGCGCTGTTCGATCGAGCGCGTCTCATTGAGATCCACACGCGCGGCATGAATCTCATCGCAGCGTTTATTTACTCAGACGACATCACTGTGGTCAGGTGTAATGTGTTTTATTGCTCTGAGATGTGCGCACAGGATTAAATCGGATGGAGCAGCGGTACGCCGTTAAGCCAGTAACCGAGAGGAGAGCGATATTTGCGTTAAATCTGAGAAGAATGGACACGCAAAATATGATGCAGTGCAAGTGTCGTCATCTGAACATCCGTTATTTCTGTTAAACGCAATAGCACAGCAAGATTTATCACGGATAGTCCTTGTTGTAGCCTCATGAAAACAACCCTTTGGACTGTATAAGGTAGATTATTGTTTATATAAATATATATTTCAATAGATAAATGTCTTCAATCGCTTAAGGTTTGAGTATTCGCAAACCATCTAAGTATTATTAATTTATTCGGGTCATCATTAAGTATTCATACTGACATTTCCGTTGGGAATATTATCTCTGATGCACCGGAATGCGTCTTCTTCATATGAGCTGTGTCTTCATGTGAGTTTAGTCATTATTTTTGCTGTCCCAAGAGTGATTATTCACCTTAATGAGATTGCTTGGCTGAATGATGCAGATGCATAGAGGCTGAATGAGAAGAGAGCTGGAAGAGAACATCATTGGACGAATCACTGTGACATCTGGCGCTAAAACTGCTTAGTCTGTGCGACATCTGTGAGCTGTTCTGTCTGTACTTGAGTTTTTAGGTGGCACCCCAGGCAACATCCAAAGAGGACCAAGTCCGGATTGAAACCACAGAGGACCAAAGTATAAACTAAATGCAGAGTGGACTGAGTCTGGACTGAATTCATAAAAGTAGATTCAACCCCGACACGATCTGATTCCAGACAGGACCTGGATCCAGTCTCAATCTAGATAGGATCTGAATCCAGACTGAATTCATAAAGGACCCAAATCTAGACTGAATCCAGACTCAATCCAGAAAGGATATGAATTCAGACTGAATCCATAAAGGACCTGAGTGCAGTGTGAACTCACAGCGTATCTAAATCCTAATTGAATCCAGATTTAACCTAGATCTAGACTTCATCCAGATCTAACCAGAATCCAGTATCAATCCAAATAGGATCTGAATCCAGAAAGGACCTGAATCTGGACCTGAATCCAGCTAGAACCTAAATCTAGATTCAATCCAGATCGGACCAGAATTCAGACTCAATTCAGATAGGAGCTCAATCCAGATAGAACTGAGTGCAGTTTGAATCCACTGTGGATCTGAGTCCAAACTGAATCCACATAGAACCTTAAGCTAGATTCAATCCAGATCGGACCAGAATTCAGGCTCAATTCAGATAGGAGCTCAATACAGATAGAACTGAGTGCAGTTCAAATCCACTGTGGATCTGAGTCCAAACTGAATCGGGGTGGAACCTTAATCTAGATTCAGTCCAGATAGGATTTAGGCCTAAGAACTGAATCCAGACTAAATAGAGGTTGAACCTAATCATCCATAGGGGACCTGAGTCCTATTTGAATCCATAAAGTACTGAATCCATCTATGATCCCTGGGACACCTGCAGCGATGCTCCCAGCCACGGAGGCAGCCAAGATCTACCAGACCAACTATGTCAGGAACTCTCGTGCCATCGGGGTCCTGTGGGCCATCTTCACCATCCTCTTCGCCATCGTCAACGTGGTATGTTTTGTTCAGCCCTACTGGATCGGGGACGGCATGGACACGCCACATGCTGGCTACTTTGGCCTCTTTCACTACTGCATAGGGAGCGGGAGCGGAGTGTCCCGGGACCTGACGTGCCAGGGGAGCTTCACAGAGTTTAGCTCCATCCCGTCTAGCGCCTTCAAAGCTGCGTCCTTCTTCATTGGGATGTCCATGGTGCTGGTCCTCTCCTGCATCGGCTGCTTCGCCTTCTTCTTCTTCTGCAGTACAGCCACTGTGTATAAGATCTGCGGGTGGATGCAGCTGGCAGCAGGTGAGTGAGTGACTATGCATCATTTGGAGGTTTCCCAATGCATGCTGATGTATTAGTAGCCAAGAGCCAGGAGTGTAATATGAAAGGCTGGACGTCAGAAAGACAATCTGTGAAGTCCAAACACACACACACACACACACACACAAACATTGGCATATCTTCTAATGGTTGCAGTTGGCATATTCTAATATTTTAGAAGTTTGACATGGCACCATGATATTATCATAGTACTTTAAAGAGTACTGTTCAAAAGTTTGGGGTTAATTTTTTTTTTTTAAAGAAATTAATACTTTTAGGATGCATGAAGTGATCAAAAGTGGCAGTAAAGACATTTATAATGTTTGTTTTTTTTACTTTTTTTGAGCACCAAATCATCATATTAGAATGATTTCTAAAGGATCATGTCATCTATGATCCCTGGGACACCTGCAGCGATGCTCCCAGCCACGGAGGCAGCCAAGATCTACCAGACCAACTATGTCAGGAACTCTCGTGCCATCGGGGTCCTGTGGGCCATCTTCACCATCCTCTTCGCCATCGTCAACGTGGTATGTTTTGTTCAGCCCTACTGGATCGGGGACGGCATGGACACGCCACATGCTGGCTACTTTGGCCTCTTTCACTACTGCATAGGGAGCGGGAGCGGAGTGTCCCGGGACCTGACGTGCCAGGGGAGCTTCACAGAGTTTAGCTCCATCCCGTCTAGCGCCTTCAAAGCTGCGTCCTTCTTCATTGGGATGTCCATGGTGCTGGTCCTCTCCTGCATCGGCTGCTTCGCCTTCTTCTTCTTCTGCAGTACAGCCACTGTGTATAAGATCTGCGGGTGGATGCAGCTGGCAGCAGGTGAGTGAGTGACTATGCATCATTTGGAGGTTTCCCAATGCATGCTGATGTATTAGTAGCCAAGAGCCAGGAGTGTAATATGAAAGGCTGGACGTCAGAAAGACAATCTGTGATTTTTTTTTTTACTTTTTTTGAGCGCCAAATCATCATATTAGAATGATTTCTAAAGGATCATGTGACACTAAAGCCTGGACTAATGGCTGCTGAAAATTCAGCTTTGCAATCACAGGAATAAATTACATTATAAAATATATTCAAATAGACAATAAATATATATTTCAATTTAAAATAAAAAAAATAAATTGAAATAATATTTAACAATTTATTACTGTTTTACTGTATTTTGATCTTGTCTTGAGCAGAAACTTTTGAACAGTAATGTACATATTTAAATTCTAAATACAAGGGTTTTCAGTAGTAGTCTAACAGTTTGTGGTCCAATTTTTTTTATTTTTTTTATATACATATAAACCTCAGATTTTTATGTGTTCTCAGGCATTTGGACTTCACTGTATAGGTTTTAGATATACTTAATTTATTACCGTATTTTTAAAATTAAATTAGTTTTTGTTTTTGGTATTGGTATTTTTTAAGACAAATACACATAGTTCTGATGTCATTAAGTGGATGTGCAATTTCCTATCAAAGATTTCAACTATTAATTAAAATACTGTGTAATGAACCCTTAGTTTACACTGCCATCCGTTTGATCACTACTGAGTAGTCTTTTTGGTGCATCCTCCAAATATGATACTTGTAGAAAAACACTTTAAATCAGACCCGCTATCCATGCAATGATAACAGTAATGTACATATTTAAATTCTAAATACAAGGGTTTTCAGTAGTAGTCTAACAGTTTGTGGTCCAATTTATTATTATTTTTTTATATACATATAAACCTCAGATTTTTATGTGTTCTCAGGCATTTGGACCTCACTGTATATGTTTTAGATATACTTAATTTATTACCGTATTTTTAAAATTAAATTAGTTTTTGTTTTTGGTATTTTTTAAGACAAATACACATAGTTCTGATGTCATTATGTGGATGTGCAATTTCCTATCAAAAGATTTCAACTATTAATTAAAATACTGTGTAATGAACCCTTAGTTTACACTGCCATCTGTTTGATCACTACTGAGTAGTCTTTTTGGTGCATCCTCCAAATATGATACTTGTAGAAAAACACTTTTTAAATCAGACCCGCTATCCATGCAATGAATCCACAGTGGACTGAAGATTATATAAATAAATAAATGATGCACACCACTTTGTTATCCCTAAATTAAACAGATGAGCATGATGAGAAAATTAGCTCAAGCACTGGATGTGTCTTTTTTCTTCTGTAAAGAAAAAAACAACTGCAGATAGGCTTAGTCAGTTTATTTTCCCCAGCTGACCAATGCTGAATGTGTCCTTAATATTTTTGAATAGAAAGTAGAATCTATGAAATGAGCAGATGAGAGAGCTCAAGATGTGTGAACTGCATCTGCACACATTGCTTTCATCTGAAGGTTTTGGCTTCAAAGGCTGCATGAGTAGAGTCAGCAGTAAGAACATGTGTGTGTCTGGTGTACCTTGCTCTGCCTATTGGTTTTTACTGTTGGAGGGAGGGATGCACCACGGGAGAAAATGTTCTAAACATAACCAGCAAAATTTCTTAAAATGTCGAGCGCTCTGTAAACATATCATTTTTTCTCAGAAAGGCAAAAGACAGGGGTTGTCTATTTTTGTGCCTGGCCTCAGGGACTTCAGGTGAGTTTTGAAAGTAACTCACAGTTGTGGACAAATTACTGTCATAGGTGGCTTATGTGAGCTGTCAGAGCAAAATGACACATGATGTTCTTGCAAGCCTCTGTATTATGTACTGTAGCTGTTTATAGAGAACAATTCTTATAGAGAACAATTCTGTCATCATTTACTCACCCTTATGTCATTCCAAATCCATATGATTTTTTCTCTTCTGTGAAACACAAAAGGAGATGTTTAACAGAATGTCCAGTCAGCTCTTTTTCATACAATGAAAAAAATACCGCAATCAAGGGCACTCAAGCTTCAAAAATGACAAAAGCACTATTAACGTATCACAAAAGTTATATTTTCTAAAGTTATGTATGATAGTTTGTGTGCAAAAAGGCCAAAATTTAATTAGTTTTATGCTTAAATAAAATAATGTTTAAATATATAATATAAAAACAATAAAATTATTATCATTATTATTAATGTTATTGTTTATATGAGTAATTTATAATTCATTATTCATCAATTTATTAGTAATCTCATTCATTCAATCTATCTATCCATCCATCCATCCATCTAAACATGGCATCAATCAAACAAATCAACTTATATTCATTTATAATAATAAGAATAATAATTATATGATATGAAATTAATATAAATGTAAATATATTTAACATGAATATGGTGTCATTAATGCAGAAATGCATTTGGTTCTTGTATGTCTTCTAGGATTTTCTACTTATAAAGTTGCCCATGATCCTGAATATGAGATGTTCAGTTGGTTCAGATCATTATATCTTGCTTAAAGTGTGTAAGTTTTGCTCGACTGACAATTTTTTAATTCACAGACGCAACATCTCATTTACATATCGACCAACGCAATATACCAAGCGCAGCACAAATTAGCATAGTCACAAATAAGGTGCAGGTGCGGGTGATCTACTTACGACACAGGTACAAAACAGACATGCTGTTTTGGGTGTTAAATAATGGGGCAAATACCAGTAATTTGACGAGCGCAAACATTAGTAAATCACGTTGCGTGATTCATTTAAAATACTCTCCTCACATACATTTTGCGTCTGAAAGGGAAACTCCTACAAATGCATATTCAAATAAGGTCAGGGACAAAAATAACTGTCCATGCCTTTTCCGCGCTAATTCTTCACTGCGCGTCTTTAGTAAATCCTGACAGTACTATTTTAACGCCAAAAGACGGTTTGCGCTGGCGCAAGCGGTTAGTAAATCTGGCCATAACTATGAATTTTGCCTCAATAAACTCTTAATTTGCTGCTTATTAATAGTTAGTAAGGTAGT